TTGAACATGCACTTGTGTATTCTGCACATGATGTTAATGCCTGAATCCTATTTTAAAAAAATATTTGTTGGAGGGGATCATAGTTCAGTTCCCAGTCAAGGCACATGCCTGGGCTGCAGGCCAGTTCCCAGCAGGGGACACACGAGAGGCAACCACACATTGATATTTCTCTCCCTCTCTCTTCCCTTCCCCTCTAAAGATAAATAAATAAATAATTTTTAAAAACCTTTAAAAATATTTGTTGGAGGGTAGATAATAACAAAAATGCTGTCAGCCAGAATAAATATATTTAGCAGTTTTCCCACATTTATAACTGTCCCCATTATTTCCTTGTTGAGTGAGCAAACAGTGTTTCATCAGAAACTCCAAGCCAGCCAGGATGAAATTTATCCTTTTTTAGAAACCTACAACAAAAGAGATCGTGTAATGTCGCTCTCTAATCTATTCCAGTCTCTCAGAACTCTCTCTAACAAGAGTACTTCTTTGGGCCTGGGCTTTGCTATAATTCTACCCTCAGTAGAGGCAGAGAAGAATAAATACACACACTGTTATGTTAATAATAAGTATCTCATGTCCATTATTTAAGATAAGGAATTTGTTAATGTCAGCAACTTAGTTAGCATAGGCATACAAACAAGAGACGAGGATGGAGAAAAGACCCTCGTCTGACATAGTAAAAGGCAATTTATATCTTTTCTAGAGTTATAGATGCCATTTTGAATATAGTTATTCATGATGACCAGCTCATTTAGGATTAAAGGGTGTATTCCAGGGGAGATATTAAATGTTTAATGTTCGAATCTCTTTAAAAGCATTTTTACAGGCAGTTTCACAAGGACATTATTCATGGCTGCAGAAGGAAAAAAAAAGACAAGATTTCTTTTTTGGTAAATGTTTTCACCCTTGGCTTTATCTAAAAAGTTTCTTTTTTACATGGATGTACTGTTCAGAAGTCTTGTTTCTGTACCTGCATCAGTAGCTCTTTCCTCTCTTATCTTTGTTTTTCAAGGCAACAGGCACGAAAACACGTGTTAGAACTGAGTAAGGAAGTTCAGGGCCTAAAGAAATCTAACACTTAATAAAGCAATATGGAAAATAACAGATTTTAAAAAGAAGGGACTGTAAAACATATAATATTTTGCTTCTACAACAGTTACAGATTTCTTGAGGTAAAGCAAAGAAGCAAGAGAATTCTTCTGGGTGTTTGCATGAGAGTTGAACATTGTAGATAAATATAATGGACTTATGTGTTAAGAGTTAAAAACAAACCCTGCCCTATTGAAAAACTTGCAGTTCCAGAGCTTTGTTTAAGGAAAACCACATTGTTACTGGATTCATTCTAACTTACCTATCGTCTCAGTAGACTTCATACTAAAGACAATTTAGTGTGAAGTGAAAATCTAAGCTCATTAGTGAAGTAAGGCAGGTCAAGTGTCCTGCGGGTTTTGGATGCACTGAATGCATCTACCAGAACTAATACAATGGATTCTCACAATATTACCATTACTTACATCATCATCACCATAACCATCAAATATTTATTGAATGCCCAGAGTGCGTAGAGTATACTTAACAACACTATTTTACACTGAAGTTGGCTCCTGGGAACTTCAACTTAAAAAATTAAAAGCAACCAGAAAGTCTCCAACAGAGAAGTCTCTGTTGGGAAGTCTCCCCCCCGCAACAGAGGCAAAGAACCACTGGGCAGAGGACACTGGGAAATGCCAAAAAGCCCATGTTCATAAAAGAAGGCCGGAAAGGAAAGGCAGTCTTTCGTAGTGAAGAATATCCAATCTGTAGATGACCCTGCTCTACATGGCAGCCCTTGTCCTTTTCCATCCCTGCCCGGACCTCTTTGTTGAGTGCCTTGGGAGCCTTTAAGGGCAACAAAATCCAAGGAAGAAGTTTTAGAGGGTTCAAACTTAAAGAGAGGGGGGGAAATCACTGAATGAAAGGAAAGGTTTTGAGGAGACTTCAGGTAAACTCACCTTCCAAGAAGCTTTTTCCTTATGTGTCCCTTTCATTTCATTTTGTTCTATTGACTCATGTGCTTGTCACTCATGTAATCTCAAGTGAAAACAAGACAAACTAGAACAAAATACATCCCCAGGAAAGAGTAGTGCAGAGTCTGGGGAAGTGCAGCCAGCTGGTTTTCAAGAGCTCTTATGCGAACCCTTAAGTGGCACTTACCCTGGTAACATCAGCCACATTCCATGTCTTGCTCTCACTTTTGTAAGACTAGAAACCCAATTTTTGTGGCACCAAGAGTAGTTCTGTTACAAACAGACACACACAATTCAGCTCACATATCTCATTTCGACATTGCCTTGTGGGCATTAAACATGGGAAGTGAAGGTGTCAAATAGTTACTTGGTAACTGGGAATCAGAATGAAGAGAATTAGTTGATATACTGGGAAGCATTTCTACCCAATTAGTGACAGCTTTACCAAGGGCATCCTAATGCTCAGGTCTGTGCTGCCAATACTCTCCCCTCTGGGTGGCATTTGAATGGATATTGTCCACTGCTGGCTCTCGGGACTGGTGGTCCTCTTCTTTGCTACAGGTTTTTACCATCCAGGACCAAGTAACCACCTAATACTGCAAAGGTAACCGGATAAACTACAGAATGCCCAGTTAAATTTGAATTTCAGATAAACAATAATTTTTAGCATAAGAATGTCCCAAACATTGAGTTGAGATTTCCTATTTTCATTTTCTAAATCTGGTGACCCCAAACTAAACCCGCCTTTTCTGAGCCTCTGTGCTTACCTTGATTGTCGTTTTGAGTGTTCCCAACCTCCCTGAAGCTCACACAGTTTCCGGCTTTACCCGTAAAAGGCTAGTAACTTTCATTATGTGTGGATTTACTGATATGACTTACTTTTAAAGTACAACTGTTCTCAATTTACAATTTGTGCGGCGCAGTGCGGCGGGTGTGGCTCATGGTCATTGCCACGTACGGGTAGTAGCTGTTGAGACAAATGGCACTAATTAGAGTTGTTTAAAGCAATACAAACCATTTTGGGAAGGATAAAGGGCTAGTATAAAGGAGTTCCACTGAGATCACTTTACTTTTACTGCATAGCTAAAATAATGTGGATTGAGGAAAAGCGATATAGGAATTCTGTTATGGGAGAAGGGTAATTTTGAGGAACGAAAAACTTTGTGTGCGGGGGGAGAAGGTACAGAAAACAAGTAGCATAGACAGTAGATAGAAAATAGATGGGGGGGCAAGAATAGTATGGGAAATATAGAACCTAAAGGACTTGAGACACATGGACATAAACTAAAGGGGGGTAATGGTGGGGTTGGGGGGGCAGGGTGGAGAGGAATGAAGGGGGGGAATAGAACAACTGTAACAGCATAATCAATTCAAAATAAATTTATAAAAAAAAAAAAAGAAAAACTTTGTGTGTAAGGCAGGTGTGGGTGGTTGAGTTCTGTAGTGGGGACCTCCAGGGTCACAGGTCTCTAAGAAGGAGGACATCAGGACGTTAGAGGGGGTCTCATAACGAGAGGGAGAGGGATGTCAAAGAAACTCGAAATATTGCGTGTGGGAGCTGGAATTCTTTCCTCCTGCTGTTGTCTATTCTACTTCTTCCTCTGGTCCAACCTCACTGATTAGGTTTTTTTATTAGTACTGCTATTTGCTTTCATTTGTGTCAAATAGACCCAATTTTGTGGTCTAGCTAGGAATCTCACCATACTACCGAACATTGCTTTTATGAGATGTGGTCCGACTTCCAAGTTTGAAACAACTAACATACAGATAAAATGTTGAAACACCCCTTGGTCAGGCTAGGTATGACTTAACTCACCTGGTGAGTATTCAATCCAGGTAGAAGGCCTGGTCGCAGTATAATGCCTGACACTGTATTAAGTTGAATACGCATCAAAAACAGATCTTACAGATCCAATTCAGTCCAATCACATTCCATTCAGCAACTATTTATTGATGACCTTTCTAGAAATACAAAGGTAATATGCTCTAAAGAGGGCTGCAGTAGGTAACTGCACAGTGGTGCACTATGTTAGGTGTGGGGGTCAAAGGTGAAGGAGACCTTGCCCTGACTTCAAGGTGTTTACAAGTACCTATGAAACAGGACTGAGGCTGCTGTTAAAAAGAAGGGAGTTACTAAGTACAAGAGATGATGTGTGTGGAAAATGCTTTGCAAATATGAAAATCTGTGGGGCTTGTTAGGGAATGGGCGACTGGCTTACTGACGACCCTTTTTACCTGCAATTAGGAGTGATAGAAAAGGAACACAGTCCTGAGAGATTGAGAATGGAGGTCATGAATAACCTGTGTCCTCATTAGCTGTAAAACCTTGGGCAAGTTATGCAGCCTTAAGCCTCATCTTTCTCCCCTGATAAATGGGGATTACCAAAATCTGCCTTTCAGAGTTACAGGTAGATTACGCAAGTAATGAGTGAAGCAAGCACCTAGCATTGTGCCTGGCAGCAGTAAAGGGTTCAATAAACCCTACGTCTTATTAGCACTTACTTTCAACTTTTCTGGGTGATCGAGAAGGGAACACTTTGTGTAGGGCTACTTTACAGGGTCTTATTTCGGGGCGCGCTACACTGTACAAATTCCACAAGTAACGCCCTTCAGCTTCTGATTTGCGCCCTTTTGCCCTAACCAAGGACCAGAGAAATTTGGGCTCTCCTAGCGAAAACAGAGCCTGTTTTCTTCTTCGTAGACACTGAGGGAAAGCTGTCGTAGAAGCCCAGACTTCAAACAAGGGCAGCAGGGCAGGGGGTCTCGGGAATGGTCTCAGGCGCAGGGTCCAGAGCGGACCCACCCCCACCCCTGGGTCTTCGAAGCTGGAGCACAGGCGGGGGAGTGGGAGACCAGGAGCGTGGGGCGACCGCATCGGGTGTCAGTGGCAGCGGAGCCGGGGCGGGCACTTCATCCGTCCAATCCCCAGCCGTAACCTCGGCCTCATGAATAAGCAACAAAGCGAAGCGCCCTCCCCCTGGCAACCCAGACTGTGGAGCGGGCCGCCACCGCTGCAGGGGCCGCCGCGGGGATGCTGAGCGCGAGCGCCGCCGCTCTCACGGCGCTGCTCTGCTGAAGGCGCACAGGTGAGGACTGGCCCGGCCCCTGCCACTCGGGCAGCGGCTGCGGCTGCAGACCCGGGGCTGGGGCACAGACGGAGTCGGAGGTGCGGGCGGCGCGGGGTCGACGCGGGACTGTGCAGTCCGGGAAGCGCGGCAGCCAGGGGCGCGCCAGGCGTGCGCCCTGCGCCGGAGTCGGAACGGCAAAAGAACCGGGGCAGCCCCGGGCGCGCTGGACGCGGCGCGCAGGCCTCGGAGGACTCGCCGCACTCGGCGCTCCAGCCCAGCCTCCGGGCTCCGCACCAGCGAGCGGGCCTTTGTGCTGGCGGAGCTCGCAGGGCTAGCTGCTTTTGTGTGGGCTTTTCTTTCTTCTCGCTCTCCCCTCCCAGCCTCACAGCGGTGATAGAGAAGTTCCCGAAGACCGCGATTTGCGCCTTTCGAAGCAACGATCGCAATATTCCCTATGCCAAACAGCGCCCAGCAGCTGAGGAAAGCGAGTACAGGCTGCGGTGGCCAGCGAGATGCGTTGTTACTTTGCAGAAAACAAACAGCTGAGTGCCTGGTGCAGAGATGTCTCTGAACCTCCTTGCTCAGACCCTGGCCGGTCCCCCAGGGCGCGGCAGGAGGACGCTCCTTGGAAAGGTCACTTAATTGGAAAGAGGGCCTGCGGGGTTAGACGCGGAGGTCAGGCTCTGCTTGAGGCTCTAGATGGGTTGTTGCGAGGTGCTGCGTGGAGGTGCCCAGATGTCTCCTGCGCGTCCTGGTCGGGGTCCTGACAGACCCTGACCTGAGCAGACTGTGAACACGTAGAGTCCTGGCTGGTGAGGAAGCAGCCAAAGACTGTTAAAAGTAGGCTGTTATTAAAGATGAGAAATGTGCCCTCCCAAGTTGATCCCAAGGGTGTCCTAGGATCTTGAAACCTCTTTTCAGGGCAGAGCTGTGGTGGGGGAGAGGAGAGAGGCTGCTTTGAAGTATCCGCCTTCATTGTTTGGAAGTTGCCGTTTGAAACTTAAGGGGGAGAGGAAGTGGTTCACAAAACCCTCCAAAGAGCTCTGAGCGATTTCTTCTATAGGGAGCAAAACGTGTGGCCAAAATTTGCATGCCTCCCCCTCCTTTTTGTGTATTCCCCCCACCACACGTGATGCTCTTGGGCTCCAAGGACTTTCCTTTAAGCCGAGAGCCTACAGACCCACAAACCGACTAGCTCCCTTGCCATCAGAACCCACTGTCCTTCCACTGAAAGAAATTCAAAACCGGGGTGAGGTTTCATAGGGTCAGAACATTGCTACTTACTTTTACACACAGTAGAAATCTAAGGGTAGACTTACTTTTATGAATAAGGTAGAGTTGTTATATTTGTCATAAGAATGAACCAAGCCCTTAGGCAGCAGACTTGATATTGATTGCATTTATTCACAAAAGTCCCAAGTCTCAGGCAGTCCGATGTGACTGCTGCAACAGAGTTAATTGGGGAGGTGTGCAATTATCTTTGTTTTCACAGGGAGCTTCTTACCATTGTACTCTGGCATTTTATGCTAAACTTTTCGATATCATACGGTGGTATTACAGATACGGTTTGGAGCTAAATACAAGTACAGAATTAAAAGGAGGAAGGCCAGCTTCCCTGTTTCTACTCTTCAACTAAAGACGTACTTCACTGTTGATTTGCAGATGTTTGCCTGAAAAGTTGCACGTGGAATTTTAATTTTGTTTAGTCTCACAGCAGGGAAGCCGACTTGTTCCGAGGAAACCTGGCCTTAATCTCTTCTACAAAATGAAAACTCATTCCCTAATTAAGATCTGTGGTCATTCCTGTTTTTCCCTATTGTGTTTTCTTTGTGGTTGTAAGAATATTGTCTAAATCAAGTTTCAGCTTGACATGTTAGGTCTTATGATTGATTATTCCTTGAAATATCTACTTGGGGATGACTCCCCCTCACTTTGTCTCCATGAGAAGCTGGAACGGGAGGCCCCGGGAGAAGAGCTCGGGGAGAAGAGGGTGTTGTGGATGCTTTAGATTGCTCACGCGTCTGGAGTTCGAAAGGAGTGCATGTCAGGATCACGATAATATGTCTTAAACTGTATGTTATTTAAGCCTTTTTCTTCAAACCATTCCATGTCTACTCTCACCTTCTGGTTTCTCTTCTACCTTTTGAAGAAAATAGAATGAGCATTATTATCTCCATTTTTCGACAGGGAAACCGAGTTTCAGCGGTTTTGCCCAAGGTAGAGCTGGAACTTCAAACCAGTGTTTAAATTTAAATCTTCAAGTCTAGCTTCTTTTATTAGGGATAGGATGATGCACCAGGGGTGAGAAGCACAGACATCTTCCTTTATCTACAGTGCTAAATTGTGGAGACTTAAAGCCATGGGCTCAATATGTAGAAAGAACTTAGTTGTGGCCTGCAGGGATGGTGAAACCCTGGGCAGGTATTAATAGTTGCCAGAGTAACCATCTCAATCCAGCCTACTTACTCTCTTCCCTGTCAGCACTGATGCCGCTCTCCTCCTGGGGGACCGTGCTTTTCTTTGTGGTTACTCCATTCTCCCTCCCTCCTCTGTGGTCTAGCAGGTTGCTGAAAGGATCATCTGTCATGCCAGCCACTTACTTTATAGTGAAAAATGACGGGGGCCAGATGATCTTGAAGCCAATATATCAGGCCACTAACAGCTGTCGGTAGCACAGTGCCTCAGAAATGGGGTACCTCAGTGCTGGGTGCCACAGTCGGGTTAATAGGGTCAGAGTCTTGATGAGCTCAGCTCTAGGCAAATGAAATAGCATTGGCAACGAGGGCCTTCAGGATTAAAAAAAGAAAAGATAGGACCCTGACAGATTAATCACTGAGGATTAGGAAAAACACATAAGGGAAAGATTTTAGAGATACAGACAAAGAAGGGAGTTTCCTTTTCCCTTCATCAGTCACAGAAGCACTAATTGGATTTTTAAAGGTGAGATGGTAACAGAGAAGCAAGTTGACTTGAAGCTCTGAGACTTGTCACTTGTTACTGCTGATTTATTTTTTAAATGAAATAAATGCTGAAAGCCTGAAATATGGCAGAAGTGAGATTACAGAAGTTATTAGTGTTATTAAAATGATACGTTGGCTAAGTAGCCAAAACTGGTTATGTGATGAACACAACATGCAGTTAGACATTGATAGACAGTGAAATGTCATCGAAAATCTTACAATGTAAAATGGAGACGCTGCACATTCTTAAATGGTTACTAATATTCACATCACGCCAGCAAATATTTATTGAGCACCTCCTTTGTGTGTCTACCACTATTAACACTTGTACGGCAAACAGAGGAAGCTGAAAGATCAGTGTGTGTGCACATAGAACACAACCTTATTTAAGGTGACCAGACTCACAGGCAGGATTACTTATACTAGAGAAGCTGGGAGAAGGGTGGGATGAGGATGGTGAGGCAGTCATGTGACAGCAGTTGGTAGGTAAACAGGACGAGACCTGGGGGCCCAGGGTTTGGACACCTAGGGTAGGGAACAAGGAGGGAGCTCTGACTAGTGCAGGGTCATGAGCAAAACTTAGGAACCTGCGGTGAAGATGGCACAGAAGAGGGCAGTATACCCCGTTGGCAGTAGTGTCTGTGCTGGGCACCAGGGCTGTGGGGCTGCATTACAGGTATGGAATTTGGCAACCGCAAGTTTGGGAGTGTTAAGTTATGTTTTGGGAGAACAGAGGGCTGTGGTGGCAAAGGCAGGGAACTTGAAGTCTTTGCAGAATTTACAAGTGCAGAAATAGACACGATCCTACAGGCAAGTTATTATCCTCTGTAAGCCTGTCGTTTTCTCCTCTAACAAAGAAACGAAGATAATGGTAGTACCTATGTCACCAGGTCACTGTTCGGGTTAGATAAGACAACTTACATACGGCACTTACGACACTTGGCACCTGGGATTCCCCAAGTGGTAGCCTTTTTAAAAATTGATTATTGTTATTTTTAGTCTTAAGAACAAACCATCTGGATTGTATAAAATGAGTTGGAGAAGAGACAGTCTGCAAAAGATAATCAATTAAAAGGCAGTTAAAGTATTAACAATTCACTGAAGTGAAAGGAAGGGATAATTCTAAGAGCTATTGTGAGGAAAGAATCCACAGAGCTTATGAATCTGAAATGTGGAGGAGAGAAGAGTTCCAGGTGACAGCCAGCTGCAGATGAAGAAGATGGTATGTGTCAGGCACCATCCAAGTGACTTCCAGTAGACAGTGAAAATCTAAGATTAGGCAGCTTTCTTCCTGAAACCCCACACGAGCTACTTCTGGTATTTATGTTTATCCCAAGGGAAAAAATATCAGGCAGATTTTTTTTTTTTGCAAACTCTATAGCCCTCCCGTGTCTTGACTACTCTCAAGGTAATGCTCATATTCCTTATATATTGTATACCTGGAACCCAATTTACTTTGAAAAAAGTAGCTTCTTCACTGTGGAGGACGTTTTAACATGCTGGTCCCCTGTGTGTGTGCATTTGGGTAATACACTGAACAATAGTAGCATATACTTCAGTTGAAAAACTAATGACCAAGAGTTAAAAAAACTAAGTCTAACAAGACGGCTAAGAGTTGTTTTTTTTTAAATGTTGTCATTCATTTGTCTTTGAAACATGCATATGCCTGAACTTGACAAAGAAACAGATTCTGGACTGTATCTACTTAAGACTGTCAAAGATAATGCTTGATAGGACAGGCTATCTGCCCGCCGGTGAAAGAAATGCAGTCAAATTGTTAGAGGACTGCCGAGCCATTAGGACACCTTGATAGCACACAATAGACCAAGTGCGACCGACTGGCTCTGGAAGGGATGCTTTTAAAGTGATTAGAAGCTAATATTCTGCAATTTGCATGCTCTGCAATTTGGTTAGCTTATGTATCTGAATTAATCGATCAGGATATAGTGAAGGGAAAGCAGCATCCAAAGTCACAGCGTGAAGGAAAAGTTAGAGGAATCTCCTTTTGTTTAGTAACTATTCCAATGATTGAGTTAGTTTAAGAGACTTGAGATGCAGAAGTCTGATAAGCAGTGAAGTCTCCCACTCCCTCTTCCTCTTCCAGTGAAGTGAGCAAAGGCATTCGTCTGTTTGTTCAGCCAATATTTACTGAGCATTTCCTCTGTGCCAGGCACTTGCCAGGGAGAGGATGGTTATTTAAGTTTAGAAATATTGTCACTGAATTGACAACGGACGGCCTTTTCTTATTTATTGTCTAAGGTCATGCATTTCCCAGTGTTGGGGGGGGGTGTGCAGGGCTCACCAAGCTTGTGGGAGTGGCCTTGCGAACCTGTACTGTGCTTTGAAAAGACTGAGAGAGACCTGGAACTTGAAGGTCATCTACCAATTTATCTGAGTTGCAAACAACTGCTGCCGTTACCGGCTGTCGTTTCTGCTTCTTTTGAAGTTCAGACGTCATTTTGAATAGGAGAGAAGGAGCATATGGCTGCAATGCACAGACACAGGGTAGGCTTGTGTGGCACACCCCCTCCTTTCCTGTCGTAACTGGATTTAGAAAGTAGGTGGCCCACACTTAGTTTTACAGAAGGAAAGTCTTTTAGAGCCCTGGCAGAATTCCTTTCACACCAATGTCCTGCAGCTCAAGATCTAGGTGCAAATGTAACCTTGAAGGAAAACTCTGCTGGGAAAGGCCGTTGAGCTTATATTAAATCGTTATTGTTTGTGCCCCCCTCATCTGATTGGATCATAAAATTCTCTTGGTCCACATGAGTCTGGAATATATTAAATAAAATGTGGAGCATTTGTTCAGTCATTTGGGTGCCTTGCCTGTTTGATGGCAAAATTGTGGGACTATGAAAATATTGTATTTAAGTCATATAGATAAAACATGAAAACAGAATCGTGGAGGAAGAAGGGATTTCAGAGATTATTTTAAGTCCTCCTGTTATCAAAGGAGACCCTGAAGTTATCTGCCCAGTGTCACTCAGCAAGTTTTAACAATAGTAAAGCTAGGAGTCAGGAATCATTGTTCACACTTTAAATAAATTATATTTTATTGTTTATGCTATTCCATTGTCCCAATTTTTCTCCCTTTGCCCCCGACTCCCTCAGACCACCCCCACACCATTGTCCATGTCCATGGGTCATGCATACGTATCCTCCGGCCACTTTATTCCCTGTGCTGTACTTCATATCCCCATGGCTTTCAGGAACCATCCTTCTGATACTAGTCCATGACCCTCTGAATTTTACTGCCACCAGCATGGCCTGTTTGGGGTTTTTTTTTTCAGGTTTTTATCCAGAAGTATAAGATTTTGTAGCTTAAGCTTTTAGGCCACACCCTACATCTTCTGGGAAAACATTTTTGTTCAGTAAAGGCAGCTCTCTGAACTGTCAGAAATGAACTAGAGATCAGTAGCTTTTACCTATCTTCCACTATATAGGGTTTCATGGTTCAACTTTTCTGCAGAGATCTGAACGTGTCATGGCATCAACCGAGAGCAATCATGCTTCACTGCTGCCACATAGTTTGTATTAACCAAGGAAAATAGAGGGGACAGGGCAACTGTTAGTACCAAATCTGGTGCCCGGCTATGCACTGGGATGCATTCTGGCTCATCTGCAGTGATAGCTAATGTCCAGAACGCTGATATGCCTTGGCTCGTGCCATTTCCTCCTTGTCCAATGTATTTCCCATATTCTCTCCTTTTAAAACAATGCTAGCAACCCATATGTAATTTAATATTTAAATAAAAATTGGTTCAAACCTTCATCCTACGTATGGGATAATCTAACATCTCTCTCATGATCTCTGAGGACTCCTGGCCGGGGGTAGGCAGGAGTCACCTCTGGTTCCATGTTCTTCTGCTGCTCAGTCTACGGTCTCTGACATGCTGCTGCTCTTCCACACTTGGCACTACGACACCTCATGACATCAGCCCATTTCTGTATTTTTCCCAAACTACTGTGGATTCAAGCTTTTAGCTAACAAATTATCTCCCAACTTGGTTGTAACAAATGTTTACGATTTCATCCCATTTCTGTGGGATAGGAATTTGGGAATAGCTCAACCGGGTGGTTCTGGCTCAAGGTGTCCTAAGAAGCTATAGTCGAGGTGTCAGCTGGGGCGATAGTTGTCTGAAGGCTGGAGTGGGGCTGGAGGATCTGCTTCAGGGGTGATCCCTTCATGCCGTCCTGGGAGCTCGGCAGGGTGCCTCAGCTCTGAGTTCATGGATTCCTCTTTCCTTGTGTAGAAAAATTCGGCCTTTTTTTTTTTTTTTTTCCCAGCAGCTACCTAGGGCCAAGGACTTGACTTTCACTCTGTCTCTAAAGGATCTGTAGGACTAGATGAAATAAAAATGTGAAAGCTTTGAACATCCTAAGGGGGAAAGACCTTATGAAAATGCAGATTTTTACACTTTATGTGTGTGTGTCACATGCTTAAACCAGACAGTTGAACGATTAGACATGAAAGAAAGAAAAGGTATAACTTTTATAAAGAGAAGTTTTTTATTTTAGAATTTTCCTTCCTAGGTTTAATGTTCTAGAAAATCTGCTGCGTCTGAGAAATTTCTGATGGTGGGAGAAGAAAGGGCCTTACTTAGCCAAATAGATAATAAGAAGTAAAACACTTAAGTGTTGGGTAAAGTTATCAATTTTGATATAGTTTTAATAATGATGAGGCTGTAAGTAGTTTTTAAAAAATGCAATGAATATTACAGTAATGCATATTCAGTAAAAACTGCTAATTTAAAATGTGTTTTAGTTCTCTTAAAATGTTGTTTCTTTTAATAAATACTTGCATTAATTCTTTTAACTTTTCTAATCTCATTTTGAACATTAAGGTTTCACTTACAATTTTTATGTTTGATGAAGAGAAAAGAAATAAGTTAGGCATTTTAAAGACAACTTAATTGAAAATAATTTTTATATATTTTAAAAGTTTTGAATATAACTGGTATTCAGTGTTTTATGATGACACTTAATAGTTTGTAAATATACTTAAAAAATAAAATATACTTAAAAGGTTCTTTGAATGTAATGTAAGTAAACGCTGTCCTGGCCATCCCACAGTCATTTAACTACATGACTAATAGAGGAATTTGGGGAGAATATTGCAAACGCGACTTTAAGGGTAGTTTATCTCAAGTAGGTATTTCAGACACAATGAAGTGAGTACTTGAACTAGGTGTGCCTTTGCCTGGAGAGCATCGAGTTAAATCAGCTACAGAATTCAGCAGGGAGAACTGAACCGGGTTATCCCTGTCTCAAAGGCACAAGGAAATAGAACGGTTCTCTCTTCTGTACCATTTCTGAGTATGAAGTCAAGGAGAGTCTTTCACTTAGGGTTTAATTCAAAGGGGGCTCATTTATAAACTATATTTATATAACGGTGTGACATGCTTTGCTTTCCTGCAGGACAGTCACTGCCATCGTCAGCGCTGCCGTTTTATGACACCTTTCCCCTCCACTATGAGAAGACCAGCCGTGCCGCATGTCTGTCTGGCTGTCTGTGGCCTTCTGCTTCTCAACTGCGCCGCACGAGGTTTGGCCTTCCCCAAAATGGAAAGGAGGGAGGCAACACGTGTTAATGAAGAAAGAGTGCCGTCTGAGAAGATAAACGTGGATGACCTAGAAAATAACTCCATCACTTCCAAGGGCGCTTTCCAACCAGTGGTCTCCGAAGACCCAGTGATAGTGTCAGCGGGACCATCAGCAGTGCCCTTAAGTCAAGCATTCACTATAAATGAAGAAACCTCTTCCATAGGTGCTGGGCTCCTGCAGCCGAATAGCCTTGGTATCGACACTACTACTGAGCCAGTGGTCCGAGCAGGGGAAGAAGCGTTTGGTTCCAGCCAGCTGGAGAGAATGCCTCCTGAAACCCTGCTTTCCAAGGCCATGGTAACCAACCCTATCACGGCCACTGCTTCGCGGAATATCAATGAGAAGGAGGAACCATTTGGTAGTACCAACATTCAGCCCGTTGTAGAAGGGGCCACAAAAGCAACACGAGGTTTTTTGGAGTATGTGGATAATCAGTTGTTTACAACTGAAAGTCAGGGAAGCATCGGTCTGGGATATTCATCTTCATCCTATGTGAATACTAACAAAATACTAACCACCGATCCAGGGACTGAGAAATTTAAAGCAGGCACAGATCCTAAGACAACTTCGTTTCTTGGTGCTGAGCCTGTAGCAGGCACGGAGCCCGGAAGCCTCACGTCTGAGAGGGAGGAGCCTTCGCAGATGACAGCTGATAATGCCCAGGCTACTGCCACCAGGCACGGGCTGACGGTCTCTGAGTACACCCTGAGTGTTGAGCTGGACACTGACAGCCTGCCCGGGGCCCCAGAAGTCACAGTGAGTGTCAGCACAGCTGTTCCAGCTGCCTCTGCCCTGAGTGATGAGTGGGATGACACCAAATCAGAGAGTGTGAGCCAGATAAAGACCCCAAAGCTGGGAGACCGTACAGAGACTCAGATGGGAACGGGAATGTCTCCGACAGCCCGAGTGACCGATAGTGGCATGGAAGGCGTGGAAAGGGGTGAACCTCTCACAGAATCGGCACACACGGGGCTTGGGCTGCCTGAGGGGGAAATGCACACAGGGGCAGCCCTGCTCACAGCACAGGGGGCTGGGAGATCCTCCGCCTTCACCGGTCATGTTTCCTTTACTCCCACAAGTCCGATGGAAGGTACGAAAGCCTCTGTTGTCAGCCTGTTTCAAAATACTGCAGACTTCATGGAATCCGCCAAGGAAAACAGTGCCATGTTTTTCTTAGAGACCACTGTTTCCATCTCAGAACATGAGTCTGAGGCTCATCAACCACTGAGAAATACATTTAAAGGTAAAAGAAACAAAAGCAAGCTTTCTTTCATTTGGGAGGCTTTAACTTGGTTTTATTATTTTCAAAAGTTGAAATATAATTGACATATAACATTGCATGGGTTTTAGGTGTTGTTTTGTTTTTTAAAAGTGGCAATTTACAAGTAAGTTATCTGTGTCACCTCCTGCCTCCATGGGAACCTGCCACATGGTGGGCAGGAGTGGGGGTCGCACCCCAGGCTTCACAGGATGCTGGGGCACCTCTGGAGGAAGGCGGGCCTAACGCGCTCCAACCTTTCTATCCGGATGGGTTTTCTATAGTTTCCCGGTGGGGACAATGGAAACTAACAATCCTCAGAACTGGAAATCTGGGAATCCTAATCTCCAAGCAAGGTGTGAATTTCCTTCCCTAAAACTTCAGGGTCTTGTGAGAGTCTGAAATGACCCCATGTGTTGTCCTGGCTGGTGGCCACAAGTGTGTGGGATTCAGTGCCCACATCCATCTGCCATGCCAGGGTTTCGTGAAACAGGAGAGCAGCCGTTCCCCCTGGGGTGTGACATTCAGTGGGGAGGTTGGGCAGGGGGGTGCTGGCGGGAGGATAAAATATCCAGCCTCCTTCCCTGTGGGCCTTTGCCTGGTGCTTGTCATCAGTTATCCAAGAACAACAACGACAGAGAAAATCTGCCCAGACAGCCAAGAAGAATCGTTAGACCCAAATAGATTACTGATAACCACTGTATTTGAAGGAACTGTATTTTGTGCATTTTAGGGACATTTTTAGAAAGTACTGTAATTCTTTCATTGAGGGGCTATCAATGGAGACAGATGAACTCCTTTTGTTATTTGCATTAAAATTATTTTGGGTCTGCTCAAAAATAAGTCATCTAAATTTTAATGACAAGCGAAATGCAGTTAAAAATACATTTTTAATAAATATTACATCGAAATATAACTCCTGCCTATAGACCAGTGGTATTTAACTGGGAACAGTGTGTGTCCCCCACCTCATCCTTGGGCAGTGTTTGGAGGAGACATTATGGCTTGTCACCACCGAGGGGAGCTACCACTGGCGTCCAGGGGGAGAGGCCAAGGACACTGCCAAAGCCACTGCAACGCACAGGGCGGCCTCCCAACCACCGACGTCTATCTGAGCCACAATGTCAACTGTGCTTAGAAACCCTCACATAGAGTTGACATTTTTCAAACATCTTATTATGAAAACATTTAGGTAAGTATATACATTAGCTGTATGTTTAAGTGGTATAACAAACAACATAAGATACTTATTTACATATGGTTGTAAAAAATACTCCTATCCCTGATATTTCTTACCAGAAAGCTTTAGGTAAATACTTATCTCATAGTATTGGCCATGTAACTTTTCTGACTTTGTTTACCAAAGAGAAATTCATCTAGAAATAAAAGTGGGGGAGACCAGTACAGAAAAACCTTCTCTGCTGTCTCGATTCTGCACTTTATGCTTCATCTTGGCCTTTACATCTATGAATGTTGTGAGCTGACAAGGCTTACATTCATTGCTGTTGGATAATATTTTTCTTTTATTATGTGTGTTTGGTTAGATGACAGCTGGGGAGGAAGAGATGGTGCATATGCTCATTCTGAACTGTTTTGCAACCTGCACAGCTTGCTACTTCTGCTAAGTAGATTAATTAATGGAAAAATATCAAATTAGTAATATGTTTTATAAAGTGTCACTGGGATTGAATTAAAGTGATAGAAGATTGAATTTAACATGTCCAATTCATTCTTCAAAGACTGAAAGACCTAGTATAATGTAACTTTTCATAGAAGCTTCCAGAAAAATTTTTATAAGTTGGTTTTCAAGTTCTGTGAAGAGAGTTGGGTTCATGTGACCATGAAGATATTGGATGTGACAGAACAAGAAGTTTACTTCAATCCTCTGTGACACCTAAGATATTTCTGGAGCATGAAGTCAGAGTTCCAGATTATTCATTGTGCAATTTGAATTCACGATTTTCATGTAATCGACTTACTTTAGCTTTTATTAATACGGCCTGTGAGTTTGTAAAGTGAGTTTGATAATTGTCTGATGATTATTTTGATTATTGAATATGCTCCAAACATAGTTTTAGTTGTCTCACTTAAATAGTCTTTTAACAGGCAACTACTTTTTATTTCTAGAATATACCACCATATCTGGCACCTAATAGGTGCTCAGTAAAAACTGGTTCAATAGATGAGTTAATGAAGGTAAAGAACCTTTCAGACTGAAATTATCCTATTTGACTGCCTGCATTGTCCAAATTAATTGAATAGCTTCTATATGTTCTTCATAGAGGGAGGAACAGTTAAATAATTCCTTTCACTTTAATTTTTTGTGCCATAGTGTTAAAAAGAATGTGAAAATTGAGATTATTGACAATAGTAGTTAGAGAGTAGTGGAAAATATTTCTACCCATTTTCTGGTGGTTATAAGTATTTTTTGGAAGTAAGCAATTCATGCCAATCGCTTTAGTTCCTAGGGACTACTTCAGGATATGCAATGATTTCTTGGTGTTTGGGGTATTATCAACAGATGAGTGGGTTATCAGTCTTCTAAATTTATTTATTTTTAGAGAGAGGAAAAGAGAGGAAGAGAGGGAGAGAAACATTGATCGGTTGCCATTCACATGCCCCCCACTGGGGACCAAGCCCACAACCCGGGCATGTGTCCTGACTGGGAATCAAACCTGCAACCTTTTGGTTTGCAGGCTGGCACTCAATCCACCAGCTGGGGAAGTTTACCAGTCTTCTGATTCAGCTTGTTCTTCAGCTGGTTCAGTTGAAGACCAGGTTTTAAAAGTAGTCTATAATAATTATCATATTTTATCCCTATAAGAAGTAGAAAAAATGAGAAATGTACAGAAACTTTGAACGTTATTTTATTTTTTAAAGTTTATGTATTTATTTTTAGAGAGAGGGAAAATGAGGGAGAAAGAGAGGGAGAGACAGATCAGTGCATGATTGCCTCTCACGCTCCCTTAACTGGGGACCTGGCCTGCAACCCAGGCATGTGCCCTGACTGGGAATCAAACCGGCAACTGTTTGGTTTGCAGGCTAGTGCTCAGTCCACTGAGCCACACCAGCCAGGGCCGAATGTTACTTTAAAAATCCCCATTACTATTTCTGGTTCTTACTCTTCTTTCTCTAACAGCAGTCGATTATTTAAAGTACTATGTCATTTTGATATTTCTTCCTATTTCATGAAACTATGAGCATAGACATTTATTTTTACATATTTGTTCTCGAAAGTGTTCATTATGCTTTCAAAAATTAGGGCAACATAAAAAATGCTTACTGCTTAAAATGATACAACTCTACATTACTATCTTCTTGTGGCAGAACACTGTCTTAGGTACTGGAGATACAAAAAGGGCAGTGATTCCTGACTCTCAAGAGATTTACGATCTCATTGGAGAAAGAAAAAAGAAAGTAAAACTTAAACAATGGTACCAAGTACAAATATGAAGCCTATGTAAGATCTTACTGTAACTCACGTTGTCTGTTTACCAGGTATATTGATCCATCAAATGTAAAAGTCTCTTCAATTCAAAAGAAAAAATAATCTGAACTGAAGGGGGACCAAGAAAAGGAATTGTTTATATTGAAAAACATACCAACATAAAAAGTACCACAATGTCACTAATAAAAACTTAAAGAAAATCTTTTCAGCTATTCCTAGAATACTGCCTTTTTCATTGCATGACGTAGTGAGCTTGCTAATACGCTATGGACCTAGAATTAGTATTTAAAAAAGAGAGATAACAGGGTCTTTTAGAAATGAAGTTTTGAGAGTGGCTCAGTATTTAAAATTTGCAGCATAGTTCCTCCCTAAAAGGGGGGCAAATATTGACCATTATAAATAATCTTTAATAATTTATTTGAGGGGATTATATTGTAAAGAAAGGGACCTTGGACAGATACATTTTCCCCATGGGTCTGTTTCATTCTCTTTCATGATCTAAAGGCAAATGCAAATCTTCTACAGATTGTTCCTTGAGCAATGGCAGATTGCCCTTTCTCATGGCTGAGGAATATTTCATTGTGTATGAGTGTGTGTATAAACAGCTTCTTTAGCCATTCATACATCAGCAGGCATAGTCAGCCCCGTGGTTGTGAGCACTGACTATGCAAGCCGATGCAGGTTCCTTAGCTTCTTTAAACCTAAGTTGTTTTTAAAACAGGTAATAATAGCTGATATTTATTAAATACTTACCAAGTACCAGGCATGTTCCAAGGGTTCTACATGTATTATGTAATTTAATCTTTGTAACATCTCTTACATCAACAACTCTGATAATATCTTTTGTGAGAAAGATATTCTTATTTACACTTTCCAGCTGAGGAAACTCAAGTTCCAGAGATGTTAAGTAATTTTTTTGTGGTCACACAGCTCCTAGGTGACTGAGTCAGAATTCAGACCCAGGCAAATTAGTTCTTGAACCTGCATTCTCAACCACTGTGATGTATGGCTTCCATGAATGATATTATTACTTACTTCCCCTTATTACCTGTGGAAGGAGAAAATAAGATAATATCCACCGCGTACTTAGCTTCTTGTGTGTTTGGCCTGTAATGGAAACTGTAAATATTAGTTATTAGAATTATTATCCCTTTAATTCAAAATGCTAACTTTCAAAAATGCCAATGTGAAAATTTCTGCTTGTAACTTAGTTCTGTATAATTTGTTTCTGAACAAACTGATTATGTTGATATTCATTAAAGGGAGCTCAGCTGTTGATCTTTCTATTTTGTTTAGATTTTATCTTATGTTTATTTTATATGAGCTTCTTAATCTCTGTCTTAGGTTGAGTTACTGCTCCTGAACACAGCAATGCTGAGGACATTTCCTTACTGGTATTTTGTTTCTAAGGGATCTCTTTGCCTTCCCATTCCCTGAAATAGCTTTCTGATTTTCCCTTCAACTTATGAATTACATAGTGACTTCTTAAAGCATAGGAATTTGATTTATTTTAAACTGTTGTTTCCCTTTTTTTAAGACACCATCACTCAAGAGATGACGACAGCTGCTCGAGAAGCAGAAGCCACTTTATCATTGGTGACACCAGAGCAGCAGGTTTCCACCCTCCAGGTTACCCAAGAACATGACGAGGCTGCAGAAGAAAAAGCGTCCGATGTTCTGGGTGCCACTCAGCTGTCAAGAAGATGGGAGACTCTGGCCAGTACCATTTCACCAACAGCCGCACCTCTGTCTTTCGAAGTTACTCCCATCGTGGAAGGTCTGTAAGGGAGGGAATTGGACTCAGTGTTATGTGGGCGGATCTTTTCTGTGTATTGATAAGAATAGAATGAGGGAGGCAGATGGCCCTGTCACCGCACACACGCACCCGTCACCTGGGGAGTGAACAGGAAAGGTAAGCGAATTCCTACTTGAAGAGATGTCACACAGTCTCAAAGAATGAGGGGTTAGTGCCTAAGAAGAATCTCCTGGAGGCTCAGCTCAGGGACGGGAGAAGGCCAGACCTCAGCTATTGAGACCTGTGTCCTAGTCCGATAACTCCGGCTGTTAGGGGTGAGGTGACGAGAGTAAGGATGTAGGTATGAATCCCAGCGTTGGCCCTCGCTACTGTTGTGGCCTCAAGTAAGTGTCTTAATGTCTCCAAGCCTGGTCTGTTCATCTCTGAATGATGCCTATCTGTCTTACAGGTTATTTTAAGTGTTTGAAATAATGTGTACAAATTGCTTTCTATATCGGAGGCCCTCAGATGCTCTGATAGCGTACAGTGAAGTCTTCAAATCGGGGTGATCATCAACATGACAAAAACTATTGTCAATAACTTTTTTTTTTTTTTTTTTTTTTTTTTTTTTTTAAAATATTTTATTTATTTATTTTAGAGGGGAAGGGAAGGAGAGAGGGAGAGAAACATCAATGTATGGTTGCCTTTCTGCGTCCCCTGCTTGGGAACTGGCCTGCAGGGAACTGGTTTGCAACCCAGGCATGTGCCCTGACTGGGAATCGAACCGCAATTGTCTGGTTCGCAGGCCCGCGCTCAGTCCACTGAGCTACACCAGCCAGGGCAATAACTTTTAACTTTTGTAACTTTTATTTATTTTTTTAAAGACTTTATTTATTTATTTTTAGAGAAGGGGAAGGAAGGGAGAAAGAGAGGAAGAGAAACATCAATATGTGATTGCCTATTGTGCGCCCCCTACTGGGGACCTGGTCCACAACCCAGGCCTGTGCCCTGACTGGGGATTGAACCAATGACCCTTTAGTCTGCAGGCCAGCACTTAATTCACTAAGCCACGCCAGCAAGAGTGACTTTTGCAACATTTAATAATTACAAACTTATTACTTAATTATTTTTGGATCTCCTGTGTTTGTTTTAACATTGGTCTAAGTAAAGCCTGTTTTTATTTATTTATTTATTTATTTATAGAGAGAGGGGAAGGGAAGGAGAAAGAGTGAGAGAGAAACACTAATGTGTGGTTGCCTCTCATGTGTCCACTGCTGGAGACCTGGCCCGCAACCCAGGCATGTGCCCTGACTGGGAATTGAACTGGCGATGCTTTGCTTCACAGGCCCATGCTCAATCCACTGAGCTACACCAGCCAGGGCTAATGGAATTATTTTTAACAATGTAATAAATACCTTCTAATCCTGCTCCCCCCAAATACTCCAAGGGCCTTGTCAGTAACCTACATGGAACCCACGACCCTTCTCATCTCGACCCCTTCCTCCTCCTCTGTTAGCAGCATCCCGTCTGGTGTTCGTTGCCTCCTTGACTTCCCTTTCTTTTAGTTTTATTGCATCGATATTTGCTCTTAAAATCATACATTTAAAATTTTTCATTGATTTTTAACTTTATTAAAGTGGTATTGTTCTATAGATAGCCTTTTTTAGGGCTTAGTTTGTTTTTTTTTTTACTTAATATTTTATGGCTAAGATTTACTTACTCTAGCTCTTTTGTGTTGACTGTTTTTAATACTCCATTAAATATTGTGAAAATACATCACAGTTTACTCAGTCTTCATCCAGTCTCTCCCAGGGATTTGCATTTGGGTCATTCAGGTTTGGTTACTGCGAACACGACTGCCATAAGTATTCTTTTTCACATCCTCTGTTGTGTGTGTGTAGGAGTTTCTCCTGGGTGTGTACCTGGGAACTGAATTCCTGGGACATAGTGTATATGAATTTTCGACTTTAGGAGGCAATGCCTAACTGTTTTCCAATCGCACCAATTTATAATCTTGACAGCAATATATGAGAGACTCAGTGAATCCATATCCTGAGAGCTTTTAAAAATATTTTCTCAGGTGTCACCACTAAAGAGATTCTGATGCAGTAAGTTGGGATATGTGGAAAGCATGAAATTACCATTAAAAAGTTACCTCGGGAGGTTCTGATGGTCAACCAGGCTTGCAAAATACCACCCTGGAGATTTGGAAAGACCTGGGGCTAAATTTGGCTGCTTCGAACTCGAGTATATTCCCGACACAGATCTAGGTTCTTACTCTGTGACCTAATTTTTAAAAAAGTCATCATTAGCATATATTTTAATAAATTTTTGTTAAATTCTCTATCTTTGGTAATAAATGGAATAAAATCCTAAAACAGCCATAATATTGCCAATAGGATAAATGGGAAGTTAAAATTTAGAAACAAATATCTGATGTGAGACAATATCTTTTCCTACAAGATAAAGCGTTTGCTTTGGGTAGCTGGGCTGATGCAGGGCGGGGAGGGGCACTGGTCTAAGTGTCTGTAATGATTTCTTGCTTGAAAAGTAAAAGCACAAGTACACATTTCCCATAGTGATCATCCTTGGGTCAAGCCCTGTCTCTTGCATTTGACAGACCTAAAGGACACAGTCACAGGGCCCAAGGAGGAGTGGATCACGCCAGTTTTTGGCTCTCCAGTGACCCCCCCTGGAATAACGGAGGAGGCACCCAGCGTTTCTCCAGCGCTTTCTGATTCCGAGGCGTCCTCCGAGAGAAGAATCCTCGTTCCATCCATTGGCCTTGTTAATACAGCTGCCCCGTATGGCCTGGACCAGCTCGAATCTGAAGGTACCCATGCGTTGAAGGGCATTTTTCCTAGGACTGGTTGAATGTGTCACTGAGCAAATGTTGTTTTGAGAAAAGATTAAGAGGTAGGTTCAATCTGCAGAATAGGTCAAGGGTCAGAAAACTGTGGCTTAGCCAGATCTGGCCAGCCATCTGTCTTTGCGTGGCCTGTAAGCTGAGGATGGGCTTTGCATTTTTAAGTGATTGAAAAAAATCAAAAGAAGGATATTTCATGGCATGGAAAATTTATATAAAATTGAAATGTCAGTGTTCCTAAAGAAAGCTGTATGGGAACACAGCCACACATGCTCATTCATGTTGTGTCTGTGGCTACTTTTGTGCCAGCACAGCAACTGAGTGGTCGGGACAGACTAAATGCCCGTAAAACCTAAAATATTTACACTTCGGCCCTTTACTGAAAAAGCGTGCTGACCCCTGGCCTAGGTCATTCATTCTCAACTACACTTGAACTTTAGCATCATCTTGGGGAGCTTTAAAAACCCTAATGCGCGAGTGAGTCCTTCTCCCAGTGATTCTGATTTCTTTGGTGTGGGATGGGATTTGGCACGAACACTGTAGGAGAGAGACTGCTCAAGATGAGTTCAACATGGAGGCTGGACTGAGAATACTGGATAAGTGGAAAACTTGAGTTTCCCCACCAGAATTTCTTGGATGGGAGTTTTAATGTGGATTGTATTTTCATAACACTGTTCTGGTTGTTCAAGTTGGGTTATTCTCTTCTCGTTCATCACATCTCTGGGTTAGGATGTTTTACTATTTGAAACAGGCCATTTCCTCACCTGTTAAGACTGAGAAATGCATGCCGATTTATACTTTCCAAGACATGGGCTTTGAGCATGAAAAGGATGCTTGGAGCACAGCTGCACAAACAGGGAGACTGGACATATGGCAACAGGCCATTTAGTTAATCAGCATTGGGCAGGTTAATAACTCCTGGCCAGAGGGCAGAACATCCAGAGATTTGTAGTGCTGCATTTCTCAAGCTAATCTGGGAGATGGGTAAGCTTTCAGGCACTGAATTAGCCATGTGCTTGGTGTGGTGAGGACATAGGATGGGCTCTTATTTGTTATTTCATCTTCTCTGCAGTAGGGAAGGGGGTCCAGCTGATTGTATTATAGACTTTCAGGGTTACACTATTGTGTTCTGTTAGCGAAATGGGACATTTTATGAGTAGTGTGGAAAATTCCATAGTAGAATCGTGGTTTAAGAAATGGATCAAAGCCAGCTCAGAGGCTAACAGCTCTTGCACTTCACGCTAAGATAAAAATCATGTGACTTTGAGCTTAGTCTCGTATTAACTGCATGCTCTCAGTACCATCTGGAAAAAGCAGGTTTCCCCAAATTAACCTGAATTAGAGATGACAGCTTTACCCAGCAGGGCTCATTAAGTCAGAGAAAAAATATATTTATGAATAATCTATACTTGTGAAACTGCAAAAGTTTTCTAAATTTAGTAGGTGATGACAGTTGTATCGAAATATGTGAGAAATTTCTTAACTCGCCTAAGACACCCTGGAGGAAGTTTTTCTATACAATTCAATTTCGACTTTCTTTTGAGGATATATTTTGTCAGTTTTGATCTAAATTATGATCCTTGTCAAGGCTTACAAATGACAGTTTTTTGGTTTGAAGATATTCTTTCTACTACGTTGTTGGGTTTGAGATTTTGAATGAGCGCACCTTTTTTCCTAAATACCAGGGAGCACAATTTATCTCTAATCAGAATACATTAATAATTTCACAATCAGTTTTATGCTGGCCTATCTAATCCTGTGAAAACTGAAGTGACTACACGGATTTGAACTTGGAAACCTACTAGATTTCTGGATGCAGTGGAGACCTCCACGTGCTCACGATTTTCCATCTTGCCCAGGAGTGTAAGTGCAGCTCGCGTCTTTGACTGGGTAGAGCATTTTAATTCCACCGTAGGATTATACCCACAGGAAGGTAGTTTATTCTTACCTAGAACCATGTGTTGTGCTATATCCAGATAGCTCCCTTTTAAGTTTTAATCCCTGTGACGTGTTGACAAGCGATGTACAATTCTCTAGTGTCAGATCTGTGTTTATTTAATTACATTATCAAACTCCTCTCATGTTATTTCGATATCTTCCCACTAGGGGGCAGGAGCCCGTCTCCAGAGAGTGGGCTGTTTTTCTCAATGGGGTATGGACAAGTGACCTGCCCTTATTTGACACCGGATACCCCAGGAGCAAGAACCTTTGTGGAAAGTTCTGAATATTTATTTTTTAAGAGATAACTAGTGGCCCAAATGAGCCTGAAATTGTATCTACTTGGCACGCTGTCTTCTTGTTGCCTCCTTTGCGTCTGTACGATATAATGACTGAGGGAGTGTGTCAGTTTCCTAGGGTTGCAGTAACAAGGCACCACGAACCGGGTGACTTAAAACAGAAGTTTGTTCTCCTGAAGCTTTAGAGCCTAGAACTCTGAAATCAAGGTGAAGGCTGGCAAGGCTCCCTCCAGAGCCTCTAGGGCAGTTTCAGCCCTCGCCTCTTCCGGCCGGGGGCCTCAGGCATTTCTTGGTTTGTGGAACCATAACTATAACTTCTGTCTTTCCCTTCACCTGGCTGTCTTCCCCGCCTGTGTCCCTGGGCCCAAATTTTCCTCGTCTTATAAGGATACCAGCCATTAGATGAAGACTAACCTCATAACTTCATCTTAACTTAGCCAATGTCCTATTTCTAAGTAAGGTCACATTCACAAGTACCATGGTTTGGGGCTTGAATGTATTTTTTTTTGGGGGGGGGTCAGAATTTAAAATATAGCAGGGGTTTTCCAGCTGGCTGTGCAGGCAGCTGTGCTCGGTCTCTGGGACACCCACCTGAGAGGCGTGCCCTGGTGGAGGCGGAGAAGTTTTGCTGTGTTTTACATTCTCAGTCACGGAAGAAAGCCTGCCTCAGTAAGTGCACTGCACCCTGTGGCTGTTTCCGTGTCCTTGACGTTGTCAGCAAAAACAGAGTCTGGTGTATGAAGGGACAGTGGTTTATCTGTCACCTTGCCTGATACCCTTTACTTCTCTGTATATTTTTTTAAGGAAATAAATGTTTTCAGGGTGATAAAAATGCATTGTACTTATCTCAGGCATGACTGTGCTAGGGCTGTATTCAGCATGTTTGAAGTATAAACATGACAAACGTATTCTCATTTTTTATTCAAGATAGGATAATGGCAAGTTACATATACATGCATAACTACATAAATGGATTTTTGGACATGACCTCTGTATAGACTGACATCCTTTTTTTTTGTTGACTATTAATGTCTTTTTCTGTTCCCAAATGGTAAAGTAAAATTTCTAATTATATATGAATGGTACTGCCATAACAATAGACATACAGATCAGTGGAACAGAATACAGAGCCCAGAAATAAACTTATGCTTTTATAGTCAGTTAATATTTGACGAAGGAGGCAAAAACATACAATGGCATAAAGACAGTCTATTCGATAAATGGTGTTGGGAAAATTGGACAGATAAATGCAAAAAAAATGAAACTAGACCACCCCCTTACACCCTACATAAGAATAAACTCAAAATGGATTAAAGACTAAAATGTTAGACTCAACACCATGAAAGTCCTAGAAGAAGACACAGGCAGTAAAATCTCAGACATTTATCATAGCAGTATTTCTTTTGACATATGTCCTCAGGCAAGGGAAACAAAAGGCCAAAAAAAAAAAATGAAGAGACTACATCAAACTGAAAAGGTTTTGTACAGCAAAGGAAACTATCAACAGAAGGCAACCCACTGAATGGGAGAATACAGTTGATAAGGGGTTAATATTAAAAGTTTATGAAGAGCTTATAAAACTCAACACCAAAGAAAAAAATTCAATTAAAAAATGGGCAAAGGACCTGAATACACACTTCTCCAAAGAGGACATACAAATAGCCATCAGACTTTTGAAAAGATGTTCAATGTCACTAATTAACAGAAAAATGCAAATTAAAACCACAATGATGAGATATCACCTGACACCTGTCAGAATGACCATCATCAATAAATCAACAAGCTCCTGGCTGGCATAGCTCAGTGGATTGAGTGCGGGCCTGCAAACCAAAGGATCACGGTTCAATTCCCAGTCAGGGCACATGCCTGGGTTGCAGGCCAGTGCCCAGCAGGGGATGCACGAGAGGCAACCATACATTGATGTTTCTCTCCCTCTCTCCTTTCCTTCCCCTCTAAAGATAAATAAATAAAATTAATTAAAAAAATAAAAATAAATCAACAAGCAGCAAGTGCTAGCAATGATGTGAAGAAGAGGAACCTTTGTGCACTGCAGGTGGGAATGCGGATTGGTACGGCCGCTGTACAAAACAGTATGGAGTTTCCTCAAATAATTAATGGTACAACTGCTCTATGACCCAGTGATTCCATTTCTGGGACTATATCCAAAGAAACTTGAAACACTAGTTTGAAAGAATATATATACCATTGTGTTCATTGCAGCATTATTTACAATTGCCAGGATTTGAAAGCAGCACAGGGGTCTACAAGTAGATGAGTAGATTAAAAAAGCTGTGGTACATTTACACAGTGGAATACTACTCAGCCATAAAAAAGGAGACCTTACCCTTTGCAACACATGAATGGACCTGGAGAGCATTATGCTAAGTGAAATAAGCCAGTCAGAGAAAGAGGAGTATCATATGATCTCACTCATATGTGGAATCTAATGAGCAAAATAAGCCAACAAACGAAATGGAAACAGACTCATAAATACAGAGAACAGACTGACAGCTGTCAGAAGGGAGGGGGTCTGGGGGACAGGGTGAAAAACGTGAAGAGATTGAGTAAAAACAAACAACCTCATAGACACAGACGCAGGATGGTGATTGTCAGAAGGAGAGGGGAGTGTTGGGAGGAAGGCGGGTAAAGGGGGGATAAGTGGTGTTGGGAGGAGACTTGACTTTGGGTGGTGAACACGCAATAAAATATACAGATGATGTGTTACAGAAT